AAGATAGGAATGCACAGCGTTTTTTCCGAAGGGGAAGAAGAAGAGATGAAGAAAATCCTGAAGAATATGAGATGGTTTCCATGATATTTGGAGCAGTTTCGTCTCCAACTTCTGCCCAATTCGTGATGAAAAGAAACGCACTAGAATTTAGAGAAGAATTTCCAGAAGCTGTAAGAGCTATTATAGATTGCCATTATGTTGACGATTATTTAGACAGTTTCGATACTCTAGAAGAGGCTAAGACAATCACATCTGGTGTAATTAAAGTACATGGAAGAGGAGGTTTTATCATACGAAATTGGTCGAGTAACTCAAGGGAACTCTTGAAAACCATTCCAGATGAATATCGAGCTATAAATCAAAAATACATGGATTTAGAAAAAGAATTACCATAACACATTCAAAGGATTCTAGGTTCAATTTGGAATCCTGATAAAGACAATTTTGGTTTTTCAATAAAATGGAATGAAAATGATCTTCAGAACTTGACCAAAACACCTGTTACAAAAAGGGATGTTTTAAGAACAGTAATGACTATCTTTGATCCATTTTGGTTCTTGAGCACATTTACAATCATGGCAAGAATTCTGCTCCAGGATATTTGGTGAACAAAAATAGGCTGGGATGATGAACCTACTGAAGATATGATGGTCAAAAGGAAAAAGTGGATTGAGATAATTAAAAAATTGACTAATTTAACCATTTCCAGGTGTTACGTTTCGAATGTATTCGATGCTCAAGAAATACAACTACATGTCTTCTATGATGCTAGTGCTCAGGCTTACGCTTCTGTTGCTTATTTCCGTATCACCAAAAAATAATCTTTTGAAACATGTTTCGTGATGGTGAAGTCCAGAGTTACACCAATAAAACAACAGATATCCATCCCTAGGCTAGAACTTCAAGCTGCAGTTTTAGGGAGTAGACTCTCAGACACCATTAAAGCATACCACAGTATCAGAATCAACAAAATTTTCTATTGGACAGACTCTAAAACTGTTATAGGCTGGATCAAATCAAAATCAACAATTTCAAACCTTTTGTGGCACACAGGGTGTCTGAAATTATAGAAACCACTGATGTAAGGAGTTGGAATTGGGTACCAACGAAAGAAAATGTGGCCGATGAAGCCACAAGAGAAAATAATCTTCATTATTGAGAATCTAGAAGATGGTTAAACGGTCCCAACTTCCTGAAGGGCCCAAGCGAGGAATGGTCCCGAACCCGTAATGACGAGATCGACAATTCTGAGGTGAAGAGAAAGTTTATTGTGTTACTTCCCGAAACCAAGAAAATTAAAAGGAAGTATTGACGGCATATAACAAGATTTTCATCTTGGTTGAAATTGTTACGTGCAACGGCTTGAATGCTGAGATTTATCAGTAATATAAGAAAAAAATCGCCATTCAACAAAGAACTCATGCCTAACGAAATAAAAATCGCCGAAAATTCATGGATAAAATATGTTCAGAAGGAACATTTTCAAGACGAAATTGAGTACTTGCAAGGTGATAGAAAAATTGAATCCTCTAGCAAGCTCTTCAAATTATCACCTTTTCTAGATGATGAAGGAATAATACGATTCAGAAGTAGAGTTTTGTATTCAAATGATTTACCTGATCACACATAATTTCCAATAATTTTCGAACCACCAAATTACTTCACGAAATTGCTGATTTTTCATTATCACTTAAAAGCAGCGAATAACGGTCAAGAGTATGTCGTAAATGAACTGAGACAACGTTACTGGATTTTGAACATAAGATCATCAGTGAAAAGTTGTTGGAACAGATGCCAATTTTGCAAAAATAAAAGGGCAAAACCAGAACTACCAGAGATGGCACCGTTATCGAATTCTCGTCTAACCTCATTTGTTCGACCTTTCACCATAGTCGGAATGGACTATTTTGGGTCTATGAATGTTTCTGTTGGCCGAAGACATGAAAAAAGATACGGAGTACTGTTTACATGCATGGGCACCCGTGCAGTTCATCTTGAAATGGCTTACTCTTTGAGTACAGATTCGGCAATAATGGCAATCAGAAAACTAATTGGTCGTAGAGGGTGTCCCAAAAAGGTATTTTCTGATAATGGCACGAACCTGCCAGCAGCAAATGAACTTAAGAGAGCCTTAAAAGATTTAGACCAGAATGAGTTAATTTCTAACTCAACCACTGACAACATTGAATTCAATTCCATACCCTCTTCCGCTCCACATATGGGAGGAAGTTGGGAGAGACTCATTAGATCCATCAAAACTACTTTGAATGTTATTCTCGAAGAAAGATTTCCACGAGACGAAGTTCTGCAGACTTTATTAATAGAAGCCGAATCCATTATCAAGAGCCGTCCATTGGTTCACGTGTCACTTGACCAAGCAGACAGTGAAGCCCTGACACCAAATCACTTTTTGATGGGAACATCAAGTGTAACTAAGATCCCAGGTGATTTCGAAGAAACTGATTTATTTACTAGAAAACAGTGGCGAATATCTCAACTTCTCTCGGATCATTTTTGGAGACGATGGATAAAGGAATATCTACCTATTTTAACCAAGAGAACTAAGTGGTTTTCTTCGTCCCAAAGAAAAGTCAAGGTTGGTGATGTGGTTATTATAGTTGACAACCAGTTTTCGAGAAACACATGGCCAAAAGGTATCGTCTCTGAGGTTCATCAAGGAGGAGATAGTCACATTCGAGTGGTAGATGTTAAAACGTCCATGGGCACATTTAGAAGACCTTTGACTGAGTTGTGCATTCTCGACGTTGACGAACCACATAGTTGAAGAACAGGAGTTCTTTACCAGGAAGAAGTGTTATTACGAATTATTATATATTAGTTGAAGAACAGGAGCTCCTCACCAGAAGGGAGTGTTCCTACGGATTATTTATCTGAAATGTTTGTTTTATTCATTTTGCTCATGTACTAATTATTTATTAGAGGTTTTTTGAATACTTGGCAAAAATAAACAGAAATTTGAATACTTGTGAAACAAAAAAGTCACGTCTTGTCATTCAAAGTATTTTTATTCAAAAAACTATCAAAACCAAAGGCAATTTCGAAACCAAAACTAACCGGAGTCAGAAACACCTAATTTATAAAATTACTTCTTGTTTATATTTGCATAAAAAAATAATTTTAGTAAATATGATATTTTGCGATGGAACATAGAGTACCACTGTTGAATTTTAGTGAATTACATAGGACCAAGTATTGTTTCTTGCGGTGCTCTATATTTAGTTACATTTAAAATTGCAAATACTGATTTGGAAGCAAATACGTCTGCTATAGACATCTCTTAGTGAAATGGTATCAAAAAATTTCCGTTATTTATGTTGCACCACTTCTTAAACTTATGTTTTTTCTATCAATCCAAATTAGTGATCTGTTATTTGTTTTAACGCCTAGATTTTTTCAATGTGCTCAATATAATAAAATAATTGTTTTAGTGTAACCACATCAAAGAAAATTATTGGAGAAACATGTTCAATATTCAAGATAATTGATTTACTTTGATTTTTGATTCTGAATTATCATGAGTACTTTTTGAGGTTACTTTCTATAAACTCAATAAGTTCCGCAACATGTTTATAATTGTCTGTCATTTCATATTCATCACTATGAATTATGTATCCTCTCGGGGGAAATCCAAAAGATTAAAATTTTATTGTGTATCGACTATGAATTATTCCAATGATGTTTTAATATTACTTTCGATACATAGTTACATATGCGTGTCCTCTAGTCTACATATGTCAATGCGGATGTTTTATAGAATCATGGTGAATGGAATGGGAATTTTAATAAAAAAAACCAACGATGAGATTATACCACTTTGCGCCAGCTATATAGAAGGATGCAAAAGAACCATAAACAAGATAATTGAAGTACCGTTTATATGAATTATTTTGAAAACCGGATCTACCGCTGTTATGTATACTCGTATAAAGTATACACACCTACATACATATAACATAATTATTTGGTATATCTGGTTTATTTTATTTTTATAATCAGGTAATCCCATATTCCCACATTGAACGTGTATTCTGGTTAGTATCTTAAACATTTTTTTGACAAATTAGGAGGTTCTCTTTTTTTTTCTTTCATTTTTCTTTTTTTTTCTTTTTTTTTCATTCCCTACACTGTTTATTTTTTGTGATTCTAATGAAGCATTTTTGTCAGTTATGGTATTGAGTTTTTTCTATAACATTCTTTGCTATGAAATTATAACAATCGTGAAAGTACTCTTTCCTCATTTGTTTCATCTATCGATTCCTTAGGACCTCATAATCTCCACATAATGTAACTGTCTAAAGTCAACTCTGAAGAATATCTGATTTTTATATCGACTTTACTGAGGATATTCATTCACTTTCTCTTATCTAAAAAAAAAATGAAATCAAAATCATAATGTAGAACTTTCATACACTTGTGAAAATAGCAAAATTTTCAGTTCACCGATGAGTAATTGCATAAGTTCAAAATATTTTTCGTAAAGAAAATTTACTTTTATCAGTAAATCATCATATTGAAAATTTTTGCCTATCAATAAAAGGCTAGGAAATTGTACACATAGTTAATCTAACTTCTCGGAGACAAAAATCTGCCTCACTTTCGATAAACAAAATAACTTTTGGTACATATGTGAAACAATATCTGCTATTCAAAATATAGTATTGATTATAAATATATTTGTAAAGCTCATTTAGAGCGAGAATAGATTATTTCAAAGTTTTATGCATACATATACCTATACACGGATATGAACATAAACAGTGCACAAATACATATTAAAATTATTCATCTGAAGAATACAAACATTTTCAAACCAGTTACTTTTCATGTTTCATTTTTCGCAATGGGTGTTCAATTTTGGAAATACGTGTATGCAGATCTTTTTAACAACGAATTTCATGCACATGTAAATTGCCATTGCTTTGACAAATAAATAATGACAAATAATTATTGTATCGATTAAAAAAAGCTTTCAGACTCACCTCGAAAGTTACGATGTTCCAAAATATAGAAAAATTTTGATTGTGCCATGTATAAACCTGTTCCAACTTTTTTGGCTGATGCGGTTTATGATAAAAATTGTATTAACAAGATATCAAACACATTATGTGTTTGAGAGCAGGTAGGTAATGGCTCATTTAGAATACCCGTGTATTCTAAATCAATGGCGGCCACTTCCATAAGGAATTTTTAAAAATGATGAGATATTTAAAATTGACTTTGATAAATATGATCCCATGAATACATTCAATTCTCCAAATGCCAGAATCAGTGATTTTTTTTTAAATTATCTGTAAAATCGAAATGATAATCAAATACTTCGTTTTCCGAAAACGTTCTTCCCGTTCATTTCGAAGATTTAGCAAAAACTTTGAAACCATCGTCATTATAGGCAAAATAGAGAAATCGACCATTAATAGTTCTAATTCAGTATTTTAGAGAGCTTTATTTTAATTGTGGTTCGTCATTCTAGACGTGAACTTGGCCAAACAAAATCATGTGTGATAGTTTTGACAATAAAACAACAATGCCTGACAAAAACCATTTTCAAATCGAGTTACTGAGTGGATTCTTGTTTTTGAAACAGTGGATTTCAAAATATCATCAAAGCAAATGTAGGAGAACATCCGATAATAACAATCGAAAGGATCGTGAACGAATTCAAGGTTGAGTTAATCGTTTTATCCGCGGGATGAATTTTATTATCGAAATTAACTGTTTTTTTAAAGCAAACATATACTGTTTTTTCTAACTACAAACATCTGTTTAAAGAATTTCGTCTGAAAAAATTCATTATTTTCGTGGGTGTATAATTACTGTTTTTTGTTGAAATTTCATTCATTATTATTTAATGTTTTGCATTAATAAAAGCTTGTTTATGTGAATATTTGTAGTTCTGAATGGATCTGGGTACTTGAATGGCAAGTTCATCGAATGACATTTCAGGTAATTGCTGAAAGTGTTGATAATGTTGGCAAAACAAATCAAATTCATAAAACCTATTATCTTTGATAACTCTAATCGTATATAATGTGAAGTATGATTATATTTCATTATCTGCCAATGTGAATTGTTGGATCTATATATATCTCAAATTTTTATCATATGGGTATTTTCCATAAACATTTCTCAACAAAACTATTTTTACCACAATTAGTACATACGGGAAATACAAATAATATTGTCAGTAGTCAGATAGACGAAAGCATGCATTCAATATTATATATTTCCCAATACTGAAAATAATATAATTAACGTTTTTAACAATGATAACAATATGAAAATTTAAAGAAAAATATCAAATTCATTCAAAATCTCAAGAGAGAAATGAACGAGTCTACACCTCAAACTAAATGTTAACTATAATTTTTCTCACAGAAGCGATTAGAATACAACGCAACATCATCTCGAAACAGGATATTCAAATCCATTGAAGGAAATTTTCTACATTCTGAAAGAAACTTGTCCATAGAATTTTTTCTTGAAATGTTTCAAATCAACAAAAATACAAATGGCACGAAGAATCAAACAGATATTGAAAATATAGGTAATATTTTATAAATTTTGTTGACATGTAGATATTATATCGGAAGTAAGTTATAGCAGAATAAATGAATCATTTGATGACATTTCAACTAATGTAGTAGTAGACTTTATTTTAGGAATCCTAATATACAATATATATTTATGCATATATGAATAATTTATATACGTACATAATTCTAATAATATATTCTAATAATAACTTTTTGAATACTTTTAAGGAATTTAAATGTTTTATTTCATCAGGTAACTTATTGAAACTATCTAGACCTTCAAAGAACAATGAA